TGGGCATTCCTGGAGTTGCCAGGGTGCGATTTTCCCATTCTGGGATGGATGAAGACCCTGGAGGGGTGGGAAGGCGTTCTGTGGGATTGATGAGGGTCCTGGAGGGGTGGGAAGGGGATTTTGGGGTGAGTGAGGAGGTTTTCCAGGATGGATGAAGTCCCTGGAGGGGCAGGAAACAGTTTTTTGGGATCCTGGAAGGTTAGGAAAAGGTTTTTTTTGGGAATATGGTAGGTTGGGAAGAGCTTTTATAGGATTCTGGAAGGTTGGGAAGGGGTTTTTGGAACCCTGATGGATTGAGAAGGGATTTTTTTGGGATGCTAGTGGATTGGGAAGAGCTTTTTTGGGATCCTGGGAGGTCGGGAAGAGCCTTTCCAGCACCACTGACAAGGTTTTTTGGGAAGCACAAGACCCTGGCAGGGTGGGAATGACTTCCCCAGGATTATCCCACTTTGGGAGCAGCTTTTTTTGGGTATCCTTCCTGAGCCCCGTGTGCCCCCAGCTCTGTCCAAACCCTTGGACGAAGCCTTTTCCCTGTGGAAGAAGCTGCTAGAAAATGCCGGAATTCCCGAGGTGCGCAGCCTGGAGCAGACCGTGAGCTCCCTGCAGCTCCTGGCCGAGCTCTACCGCCTACAGGACAAGGTGATCCCCAGTTCCCAGGGGTTCCTGGGGCTGGGAGGATGAGGAGGAGGAGGAAGGAGAGAGTTTGGGGTGATGGAGAGGAAGGCAGAAAGCGTTTGGAATGAAGGAGGAGGAAATTTGGGACAAAGAGGAGGGAGGGAAAGAGTTTGGGGATGTGGGAGAGGAAGGGAGAGAGTTCTGGGATGAGGAGGAAGAGGGAGGGAGTTTAGGATGAAGAGGAGGGAGAGAGTTTGGGATGAGGAGGGAGAGGGAGGGAGTTTGGGATGATGAAGAGGAGAGAGTTTGGGATGAGGAGGGAGAGGGAGGGAGTTTAGGATGATGAAGAGGAGAGAGTTTGGGATGAGGAGGGAGAGGGAAAAGGTTTGGGATGATGAGGAGGAGAGTTTGGGATGAGGAAGAGTGAGGGAATTTGGGAAGAAGAGGGAAAGAGTTTGGGAGGATGAAGAGGAGAGAGTTTGGGATGATGAAGAGGAGAGAGTTTGGGATGAGGAGGGAGAGGGAAAAGGTTTGGGATGATGAGGAGGAGAGTTTGGGATGAGGAAGAGTGAGGGAATTTGGGAAGAAGAGGGAAAGAGTTTGGGAGGATGAAGAGGAGAGAGTTTGGGATGAGGAAGAAGAGGGAAAAAGTTGGGGAGGATGAAGAGGAAAGAGGGAAAGAGTTTGGGATAAAGAGGGAAGGAATTTGGGATGAAGAGGAGGATGAAGAGGAAGGAGAAAGTTTGGGATGAGGAGGAAAAGGGAGGGAGTTTGGGATTAAAAGGAGGGAGAGAGTTCGGGATGAGGAGGAAGAGGGAAAAAGTTTTTGAGGACGAAGAGGAAGAGAATTTGGGATGAAGAGGAGAAAAAGGAATGAGACATTTTGGGGATGAGGAGGAGGAAGGGGGAATTTGGGATGGGGAAGAGCAGGGAGAGCTTTTGCCAGGATCCCTGGGATGCTTTTGGGGTTTATCCAAGGGTTTTCCCCTTCCCAGCCCATCCAAGCCCTGGAGAGTTTCCTGCTGCTGCGCTCGCTGTGCCAGAGGCTCGGGGATCATTTGGGAACGGCCACTGCCCTGTGCCAGCTCACCCGGATCCTGCTGCGGCTGGACTGCCCTGCCCAGGCCCAGGTACATCCAGGAAATCCAGGAGATCCGGGAATGTCCTTCCCAAACCCAGGGACTGCTGGAAGGGGATTGGGATGGGATAAAAGGATTGGGATTGGGATGGGATAAAAGGACTGGGATTATGGGATTGGGATGGAATAAAAGGATTGGGATGGGTGGGATTGGGATGGGATCACCCCCATGATCCCAAATCCCATTTTTCCAGGCAGATCAGGGCGTGGCCCTGCTGCTGGAAGGGGATTGGGATGGGATAAAAGGATTGGGATTGGGATGGGATAAAAGGACTGGGATTATGGGATTGGGATGGAATAAAAGGATTGGGATGGGTGGGATTGGGATGGGATCACCCCCATGATCCCAAATCCTATTTTTCCAGGCAGATCAGGGCGTGGCCCTGCTGCTGGAAGGGGATTGGGATGGGATAAAAGGACTGGGAGTGGGATAAAAGGATTGGGATGGGATGAAATCACTGGGATGATGGGATTGGGATGGGATAAAGGACTGGGATGGGTGGAATTGGGATGGGATCACCCCCATGATCCCAAATCCCATTTTTCCAGGCAGATCAGGGCATGGCCCTGCTGCTGGAAGGGGATTGGGATGGGATAAAAGGACTGGGATGATGGGATTGGGATGGGATCACCTCCATGATCCCAAATCCCATTTTTTCCCATTTTTCCAGGTGGATCAGGGCATGGCCCTGCTGCTGGAAGGGGATTGGGATGGGGGAACGGGATAAAAGGAAAGTAAAGCGGCATAAAAGGACTGAGATTACAGGTTGGGATGACCCCCCATGATCCCAGATCCCATTTTTCCCCGTTTTTCCCCTTTTTCCAGGCGGATCAGGGCGTGGCCCTGCTGCTGGAGGCCCTGAGGGACCCCTGTGCCCAGAGGGCCACCAGGGGCTGGTACCTGGCACAGGCCCAGAGGCTGCAGCTGGTGGCCACGATCCTGGAGCTGCCCCCGGCCCACCTGGAGCCGCCGCTCCGGGAGCAGATCCGGCAGCACGGTGGGAAAAGGGAATTTGGGAGGGAAAAATCCATCCCAAGGGAGGGGTTTGGGGTGAGGAGGAAGAGGGAGAGAGTTTGGGGTGAGGAGAAAGAGGGAGAGAGTTTGGGGTGAGGAGGGAATTTGGGATGGGCAGAGGGAGAGGTTTTGGGGTGAGAAGGAGGAAGGGGGGATTTGGGAGGAGGAGGAGGAAGAGGGAAAGAATTTGGGATGAGGAAGAGGGAGGAAGTTCAGGGATGAGGAGGGAGTTTGGGAACTCCCAGACTCCAAAGTTTGGGAACTTCAGGGAAGGAGAGAGTTTTAGGATGAGGAGGAAGGGGAGAGTTTAGGGATGAGGAGGAGGAAGGGAGCGGTTTTGAGGATGAGGAGGAGGAAGAGTGAGGGAGTTATGGGATGGAGGAGGAAGAGGAAGGGAATTTAGGGATGAAGAGAAGCACAGAGGAATTTTGGGGATGAGCAGGAGGAAGAGATAGAGTTTGGGAGGAGAGGGAGGAAGAAGGAGAAGGAGGGAGTTTGGAGAGAAGGAAGAAGGGATTTGGGATGAGGAGGAAGAGATGGGGCGAGTCAGGACTCGGGGGAGCCTTGCTGTGAGGAGGAGGAGGAAGGTCTGGGGATCCCCTGTGCTGATCCCCTGGAATTCCAGGCTGGAGCAGCCCCAAGGTGGCCCTGCTGGAGGCGCAGAAGCTGCTGAGGAGCATCCTGGTGTTCCTGGTGGGCAGCGACGTCCTGGGCAGCGCCCGGAGCCGCCCGCCCGAGGAGCCCGGCCCCGACTGCGGTCAGCGGTGGGACAGGGGCTGGGGGCCCTGGGGTGGGGTCACTGGGGTGGGGTGGGGTCATTGGGATGGGATCGGGGTCACTGGGATGGGATTTGGGGTCCCTGGGGTGGGATGGGGTCATTGGGATGGAATCGGGGTCCCTGGGACAGAATTGGGGTCCATGAAGTGGGATGAGATGGGATGGAATGGGTTTGGGTTCCCTGGGATGGGATTAGAGTCCCTGGGATGGAGTGGGGTGGGATGGGTTTGGGGTCCCTGAGGTGGGATTGGGGTCCTTGAGGTGGGATGGGATGGGATGGGTTTGGGGTCCCTGGGATGGAATTGGGGTCCCTGGGAGCCTGTGGAATGGAATGGGGTCCCTCTGGAATGGGATGGGATGGGCTGGGAGCCTCTGGGATGGGTTGGGGGTCCCTCAGGAAGGGTTGGGATCTCTTGGAATGAACTGAACTCCATGGGAAGGTCCAGGAGCCTTGGGAACAGCTCCATCTCCCTGGGAGTCCTCCCCATCCCATCTCCCCTGGGGATGGCTCCATCTCCCTGGGACCCCTCCCCATCCCATCTCCCTGGGACCCCTCCCCACCCCACGGCTCTCCCAGTATTCCCAGTGCCATCCCACTGTCCCCAGGCCCAGCGCTGGTGCACAAGTGGCAGGTGCTGGGGGACACCCTGGGCTGCTGCCAGCGCCTGGTGACACTGCTGGGCCACTGCGAGGTCCTGTGCCAGGCCAGGGCCTTCTGCAGCGAGGGACTGACCGTGGCCGGACACCTGCAGGCCGCCCGCTGGTCAGTGGTGGGATTGGGGTCATGGAGATTGGGTTTGGGGTCATTGGGATGGGTTTGGGGTCATGGGGATTGGATTTGGGGTCATTGGGATGGATTTGGGGTCATTGGGGTCACTGGGGAATGGTGACCAGCATTGAGGGACTATGGCTGGATACCTGCAGGCTGCCCACTGGTCAGTGATGGGTTTGGGAAGGGGATTGGGGTCATTGGGATTGGGTTTGGGGTCATTGGGATTGGGAATGGGATCATTTGGGTCATTGGCATCATTGGGATTGGGAATGGCATCACTGGGGTCACTGGGATAGGGATCCTTTAGGAATGGTGGGTCAGCAGCTCATTCCCACCTCCCTCCCAGCTCTGGTGGGCTCTGAGGGGTCTTTTTCCCCCGTTTTTCCCTGTTTTCCCCATTTTTTCCCCATTTTCCTGCAGGTGCACGTGGTTCCTGGTGCTGCAGTCCCAGCTGGAGCTGCAGCAGGGGGAGCTGGAGCTGAGCCAGTCCCACCTCCAGCACGCCCAGTTCCTGCTCCAGCCACAGACTGGTGAGCACTGGGGTGGGGAAATCCCAGTGATCCCAGCCTGGGAATGGGGGAAATCCCAGTGATCCCAGTCTGGGAATGGGGGAAATCCCAGTGATCCCAGCCTGGGAATGGGGGAAATCCCAGTGATCCCAGTTTGGGGCTGAAGGAATGATCAAGCTCGGACAGGACCCAAATTTTTGGACCCTTCTTTGTGCTGGAAAATCCCAAATTATCACATCCATCCCCTCCAGAGTTAAATCCCTTTGGGAAGAGAACCCCAAACATCCCTTCCCTCCCATCCAGGGTTAAATCCCTTTAGGAAGAGAACTCCAAACATCCCTTCCATCCCCTCCAGGGTTAAATCCCTTTAGGAAGAGAACCCCAAACATCCCTTCCCTCCCATCCAGGGTTAAATCCCTTTGGGAAGAGAACCCCAAACATCCCTTCCCTCCCATCCAGGGTTAAATCCCTTTAGGAAGAGAACCCCAAACATCCCTTCCCTCCCATCCAGGGTTAAATCCCTTTAGGAAGAGAACCCCAAACATCCCTTCCATCCCATCCAGGGTTAAATCCCTTTAAAAAGAGAGCCCCAAACATCCCTTCCCTCCCATCCAGGGTTAAATCCCTTTGGGAAGAGAACCCCAAACATTCCTTCCATCCCCTCCAGAGTTAAATCCCTTTAGGAAGAGAACCCCAAACATCCCTCCCCTCCAGGGTTAAATCCCTTTAGGAAGAGAACCCCAAACATCCCTTCCATCCCCTCCAGAGCTCAAGCCCAGCTGGGAATCACTCCCTACAAGACTCCAAACCCCAAATCCTCCCTGAATTCCCATTCCAGAACCCAAACCCTGCCAGGAGCCTCGGCAACGCCGGGCCAAGATCCAGCTCCAGAAAGGCCACCTGGAGAGGAGGAAACCTCTGGATCCCATTCCTGACCCCATTCCTGGTGGGGAGGAGGATGAGGAATTCCTGAAGGGTCCCTCCCTGGACGCCCTGGCTCCGGCCGCGCTCCCGGAGCAGCCGGACGCTCTCACGGCCTCGCCGGAGCTGAAGGGAAGAAAAGCCTGGAAAAGTCTGGAATTCCTGTCCCACCCCTCGGGATGTCCCTGCTCCTTCTGCTGTGACCCTGCCCTGGTGGCCCTGGGGCTGCGCTGGCTCCTGGCACAGGCCCGGGCGTGGCTGCTGGCCGGGGAGGTGGCAGCGGGGCTGGCCCTGCTCAGGAGGGTGCTGGCACGGTGTGGCAGCGCCGGCACCCGCCTGGCACGGGAGCTGTGGGGCAGGGTCCCGGGCGTGGGGTCTGGGGACATCAGGAGGGCTGGGGGGAGTGGGGACAGGAGCCTGCAGGGCCCCTCTGGGAATGGGGACATGGTCAGGGATAGGGGAGCTCCTGGGAATGGGGACATCGTCAAGGATAAGGGAATTCCTGGGAATGGGGACATTGTCAAGGATAAGGGAATTCCTGGGGATGGGGACATCAGCGGGGATGGGGACAGGAATCTGTCAGACCCCTCTGGGAATGGGGACATTGTCAGGGGTGGGGACAGGAATCTGTCAGACCCCTCTGGGAATGGGGACATCAGCAGGAATGGGGGCAGGGGTCTGCAGGACCCCTCTGGGAATGGGGACACCATCAGGGACAGGGACCCCTCTGGGAGCAGGGACACCCTCAGGGACAGGAGTCTGCAGGAACTCTCCAGGAATGGGGACACCCTTGGGGACAGGGACCTGTGGAATCACTCCAGGGGCAGGGATCCCTCTGGGAATGGGGACATCATCGGGGCTGGGGACCCTCCTGGGGACAGGGACCCTCCTGGGGTTGGAGACCCTCCTGGGGTTGGGGACCCTCCTGGGGACAGCAGCCCGGGCCCACTGGCTGAGCTGGTGGCCACTGGCTACTCCACGCTGGCCCTGCAGAGCCTGGCCAGTCCATCCCAGTGCCCCCCAGTTTGGGATGAGGATCTGGAGCAGGGACTGACCCTCTTGGGGTCCCAAAGTCCCCCCGTGGCCGGCCTGGGGGTGGCAGTGGCCACTCTGCTGCTGGCCAAAGCCGTGGCCGCCCTCGGCCGCATGGCCACCGCCCTCGGCCACTCCATGGATGATGTCCTGGCCCAGGCCTGGACCCCCTGTCCCCCACCCCAAACCCCAAACCCCTCAAAACCCCAAAAAACCCCCAAAGCTCCCGCCAAAACCGGACCCCAAAAAGCCAAAGCCCCCAAAGCCAAGGTGGGGAAGACCCCAAAAGTGAAGCCCCCCAAATCTGGGGACGTTTTCACCCTGGGGGACTCAGACCCCGAGGTCCCCCCCATTGTCCTGCGGCCGGGGGGGCCTTGCACCCCCCACCCCAAATCGGGGGTGCCCCCAAAAGCGCTGCTGGGGGGGCCCAGGACCCCCTTCACCATCTTCAGCGAGGAGCCCTCCCCACCTGGGGGCAGCTCCCGGCTCCGCAGGGCCCCCAAAATCCCAGGAAGGGTCAAGTCCCGGATCAGGGTGAGTTTGGGCTTGGGGGGGAGTTTGGGGAGGGAAAATTTTGGGGGGAAAAGTTTAGGAAGGGAAATCTGGGGGGGAAATCGGGAGGAGGAAAAGTTTGGGGAGGGAAAATTTTGGGGGGAAAAGTTTGGGAAGGGAAATCTGGGGAGGAAATCAGGAGGAGGAAAAGTTTGGGGGGGGAAAAGTTTGGGAAGGGAAATTTGAGATGGGAAATTCGGAGGAGAAATCAGGAGGAGGCAAAATTTGGGGAGGGAAAATTTGGGGCAAAACGTTTGGGAAGGGAAATTTGGGATGGAAATTTGGTGGGGAAATTGGGAGGAGGGGAAATTTGGGAAGGGAAATTTGAGGGGCAAAGCTTTGAGGGGCAGAAATTGGTAAGAGGGAAGGCTTGGGAAGGGAAATTTGGGAAGGAAAATTTTGGGGGGAAATTATTGGGGGGGGAAAGGATTGGGGAAGGGAAATCTTTGGGGAGGGGAGGAAAATTTTGGAGGGGCAGAAAAAGTTTGTGGGGGAACGTTTTGGGGACAGGAAATTTGGGGAAAGGAAGGAAAATTTTAGTGGGAAAATTGGGTGGGGTTGGGGGAAACTTCACATGGAAAACTTTGGGAGGGTGAGGAAAAATTTTGGGATGAAAATTTTGGGCTGAACCCCTTTGTCCCCCCCTTTTTCAGGTGACATTCAGTGACAGCGACTCTGAGGAGCCCCAAATTCCCCCAGATCCCCCCAAAACCACCCAAAAAACTTCCTGTGCCCAGAGGAAGGTTCAGCCCCAAAAATCCCCCAGGAATTCTCCAGGAATTGGAGCTCGGCCCCGGCGGGGGCGGCCCCGGAAGGAGCTGGGGACCCCCAAAAAGAGGGAAAAAAGGGGGATCAACCACGTGGAAAATCTGGAAAAGAAGGAAAATAGCATCCCTCAAACAGCTCTGGAAAAGAGGGAAAGAAGGGGAAACACCACAGTGGAAAATGTGGAAAAAATGGGAAATCCCAAAATGGAAAACGTGGGAAAAATGGGAAATCCCAAAATGGAAAACGTGAGAAAAAGGGGAAATCCCAAAGTGGAAAATACGAAAAATGACAACATGGAAAATGTAGAAAAGAAGGAAAAGGGAAAATCCCAAAAATCTCTGGAGAAGAAGGAGAACAGGGGTCCCCGCCGGGCTGGGGGTCCTCGGGGAAAGAAGGAGAGGGGGACCCCCCAAATTGGAATTTTGGAGGAAAAGAGGAACTGGGAATTTTCTGGGATTGAGGAGCGGGACCCCCTGAGGGCCGTGGAGGAGGAAGAGGAGGAGGAGATGAGCTTTGAGCTCCCCCCGCTGTCCCCAGGTGAGTTTGGGGGATTTTGGGGGGGGGGGGTTTCATCTTGGTGAGCCCAAAATTGCCTTTTTTGACCCCAAAACTGCCCCATCTTTTCCAGGTGGGGCCAGCAAGGAAATCCCAGGAATTGGGGACAAGGGGGATCCCCCAAATCCAGAGGGATCCTGCCCCTCTGCCCAGCCCGGTGAGCACCTGGAATTTGGAGGATTTGGGGAATTTTGGGGTGGTTTTGGGATTTAGGGGCTCAGCTGGGCATGGCCTGACTTCTCCAGGGCTTTTCCTTCCTTTTCCAGGAATTTTCCTTCTTTTTCTCAGGAGTTTCCTCTCCTGAACTTTTCCCTTCCCCAAATTTTTCCTCCTTTCCCCAAATTTTCTTTTCTTCCCCAAAACTTTTCCTCCCAAACTTTTCCATTCCCCAAACTTTCCTTTTTTGCCCCCAAACTTTGTCCCTCCTGTCCTGACCCCTCCTGTCCCCACTGACCACTGTCCCCTCTGCCTCACTGACCACTGTCCCCACTGTCCTCTGTCCCCCCAGGTGACCCCTCACTGACCACTGTCCCATCTGTCCCCTCTGTCCCCCCAGGTGACCCCTCTCTGTCCTGTCCCCCCAGGTGACCCCTCTCTGTCCTGTCCCCCCAGGTGACCCCTCTCTGTCCTGTCCCCCCAGGTGACCCCTCTCTGTCCTGTCCCCCCAGGTGACCCCTCTCTGTCCTGTCCCCCCAGGTGACCCCTCTCTGTCCTGTCCCCCCAGGTGACCCCTCTCTGTCCTGTCCCCCCAGGTGACCCCTCTCTGTCCTGTCCCCCCAGGTGACCCCTCTCTGTCCTGTCCCCCCAGGTGACCCCTCTCTGTCCTGTCCCCCCAGGTGACCCCTCTCTGTCCTGTCCCCCCAGGTGACCCCTCTCTGTCCTGTCCCCCCAGGTGACCCCTCTCTGTCCTGTCCCCCCAGGTGACCCCTCTCTGTCCTGTCCCCCCAGGTGACCCCTCTCTGTCCTGTCCCCCCAGGTGACCCCTCTCTGTCCTGTCCCCCCAGGTGACCCCTCTCTGTCCTGTCCCCCCAGGTGACCCCTCTCTGTCCTGTCCCCCCAGGTGACCCCTCTCTGTCCTGTCCCCCCAGGTGACCCCCTCTGTCCCCTGTCCCCTCTGTCCCCCCAGGTGACCCCTCTCTGTCCTCTGTCCCCTCTGTCCCCCCAGGTGACCCCTCTCTGTCCTGTTCCCCCAGGTGACCCCTCTCTGTCCTCTGTCCCCTCTGTCCCCCCAGGTGACCCCTCTCTGTCCTCTGTCCCCCCCAGGTGACCCCTCACTGGACACTGTCCCCCCAGGTGACCCCTCTCTGTCCTGTTCCCCCAGGTGACCCCTCTCTGTCCTCTGTCCCCTCTGTCCCCCCAGGTGACCCCTCTCTGTCCTGTCCCCCCAGGTGACCCCTCTCTGTCCTGTCCCCACAGGTGACCCCTCTCTGGCCGCTGTCCGGTCCCTGCTGGCCGAGGCGCTGGCGTGGGTCGGTCACTTCCCGCCGGGCTCTCTCTATGGCCAGCTGTGCCAGCTGCTGGCCATGGCCCTCGGGGACAGGGACCCGCTGGCCACCGCGGGGCTGCTGGCAGAGTCCCTGAGTGTCACCATGCGCCACCAGCTGCTGGCCATCGTCCACGCCAGGGCACGGTGGGTCACAGGAGTGGCACCTCCCGGTGGCACCTTCCAGTCTCTGTCCTCTGTCCCCTTCCCAGTGGCCCTGTCCAGTGTCCCCATCCCCAGCCAGTGTCCCCATCCCCAGCCAGTGGCCTCCTCCCTTCCCAGTGGCCCTGTCCAGTGTCCCTGTCCCTTCCCCAGTGTCCCTGTCCAGTGTCCCCAGCCCCATCCAGTGGCCTCATCCCTGTCCAGTGTCCCTGTCCAGTGTCCCTGTCCAGTGTCCCCATCCCTTCCCAGTGTCCCTGTCCAGTGTCCCCATCCCTTCCCAATGTCCCTGTCCCATTCCAATGTCCCCTTCCAGTGTCCCCTCCCTTCATCCCCAGGGCATCGGATCCCACCCAATGTCCCATCCCAATGTCCCCATCCCCAATGTCCCCACTGGGGATTCCCCCTTGGGGAAGGGACTCATCCCATATCCTACATCCCATATCCCCATCCTATATCCCACATCCCCATCCCATATCCCACATCCCCATCCCACATCCCACATCCCCATCCCACATCCCACATCCCATATCCCACATCCCCATCCCATATCCCACATCCCCATCCCATATCCCACATCCCACATCCCCATCCCACATCCCCATCCCATATCCCACATCCCCATCCCATATCCTACATCCCACATCCCCATCCCACATCCCCATCCCATATCCCACATCCCGCATCCCATATCCCACATCCCCTATCCCATATCCCCATCCCACATCCCCATCCCGCATCCCACATCCCCTATCCCACATCCCTATCCCACATCCCATATCCCTTCCCTCCATCCCCAAATCCCATCCTGGCCCCATCCCAAGGGATTTTGGGATGACCCCGCAGGAAGAAGAGGAAAGCAGCAGCAGCAGCCAGAGAGGACATCTCGGATCAGCTCCGGGGCCTCTCCCTGGATTCCCGGAATTCCCAGGATTCCCGGAATTCCCAAAATTCCCAGGATTCCCAGTCCCACCTGGCCGAGCTCGAGGAGCTTTTCCAGTTCAGCTCCACGGGTGTGGGGCCGGCGGAGCGGGAGCGGTTCCGGGAGCAGCTCCAGAAGATTCCCAGCGGTCAGTGCTGGGATTCCGGGCTGGGAGATCCCAAATTCCTGGTTTGGGGATTGGGAAATCCCAAATTCCACATCCAGGGGTTTGGAAATCCCAAATTCCCAGTCTGGGGATGAAATCCCCAATTCCCAGTTTGGGTGTTTGGTGGTCTCAAATGGGTTGGGAATGGTTGGAATTTAGGTCTGGGGATTTTTTTCCAGTTTTGGGATTCCATGGGGTGGAATTTGGGGGAATGTGCCAAGCCTGGCATGTCCCCGCAGGTGTCACCGTGTGCCAGCTGTCCCTGGTCAGTGCCAGCCCCGGGGACACAGAGGTGGCCTTGGATGGGGTGGGAATGGTTGGAATTAAGGTCTGGGGAGCTTTGAGATTTAGGGGGTCCAGGGGTGGGATTCCAGGGGAGGTCCCAGATTTGGGGTGTCCCCGCAGGTGTCACCGTGTGCCAGCTGTCCCTGGTCAGTGCCACCCCCGGGGCCCTCGGGGACACGCTGCTGCTGACCCGGCTGGAGCGCGGCGCGGAGCCCGTCAGCGTGCGCATCGCCACCGAGCGCTGCCAGGTCAGCGGGGCCGCCTTCCTCCTCCTCATCCTCCTCTTCATCATCATGCTTATCCTCGCCTTCATCATCATCCTTATCCTCATCATCATGCTTAGCCTCGTCTTCATCCTCATGCTTATCCTCGCCTTCATCATCACCCTTATCCTTATCCTCATCTGCATCCTCATCCTTATCCTCATCATCATGCTTATCCTCGTCTTCATCATCATCCTTATCCTCATCCGCATCCTCATCTGCATCCTCATCCTTATCCTCGTCCTTATCCTCGTCTTCATCTTTGTCCTCATCTTCATCCTCATCCTCCTCCTCATCCTCGTCCTCCTCTTCATCCTCATCCTTACCCTCATCTTCATCCTTAACCTCGTCTTCGTCCTTATCCTCATCTTCATTTTTGTCCTCATCTTCATCCTCATCCTCCTCTTCATCCTCATCCTTATCCTCATCTTCTTCCTCATCCTTATCTTCATCCTTATTCTCATCTTCATTTTTGTCCTCATCTTCATTCTTATCTTCATCATCATCCTCATCCTCCTCTTCATCGTCATCCTTATCCTCATCTTCATCCTCATTCTTATCCTCATCTTCTTCCTTACCCTCATCTTTGTCCTTATCCTCATCTTCATTTTTGTCCTCATCTTCATCCTCATCTTTATCCTCATCCTTATCCTCCTTCTTCTCCTCCTCATCGTTATCCTCATCTTCATCCTCATCCTCCTTCTCATTCTAATCTTCATCCTCATCGTCCTTCTTTTCCTTTCATCCTCATCCTTATCCTCATCTTCATCCTCATCCTTTTCCTCATCCTTATCCTCGTCTTCATCCTTATCCTCATCCTCATCCTCCTTCTCCTCCTCCTCATCTTCATCCTGCTCCTCATCTTCATCCTCACCCTCCTCCTTCTCATCTTCATCCTTATGCTGCTCCTCATCTTTATCATCCTCCTCCTCATCCTCCTCATCTTCATCCTTCTCCAGGAGCGTTGGGCACTGACCATTCCAGGGATGGAATCCTGGCTCCATCCTTTTCTTCCTCACCCTCTTCCTTTTTCCTCCTCCTTTTCCCCACATTCTCTTCCTTTGCCTCCTCTTCTCCCTACTCCCACTTCCCTCCTTCTTCCTCCTGCTCTTCCTCCTGTTTCCTTCTTCTTCCTCCTGCTAGTGGGGTTCTGATTGCAGATTTTGGGGTTCTGATTGCAGATTTTGGGGCTCCGATCCCAGATTTGGGGTTCCAATCCCAGATTTTGAGTATTTCCCTGGAACTGTCCCTCTCCCTGCGCAGGTGCTGCTGTCGGTGCTGTGTCCGGCCACTGACCACAGCGCTGTGTCCAGTGGGGTTCTGATTGCAGATTTTGGGGTTCTGATTGCAGATTTTGGGGCTCCGATCCCAGATTTGGGGTTCCAATCCCAGATTTTGAGTATTTCCCTGGAACTGTCCCTCTCCCTGCGCAGGTGCTGCTGTCGGTGCTGTGTCCGGCCACTGACCACAGCGCTGTGTCCAGTGGGGTTCTGATTGCAGATTTTGGGGTTCTGATTGCAGATTTTGGGGCTCCGATCCCAGATTTGGGGTTCCAATCCCAGATTTTGAGATTTCCCTGGAACTGTCCCTCTCCCTGCGCAGGTGCTGCTGTCGGTGCTGTGTCCGGCCGATGTCCGGCCACTGACCGCAGCGCTGTGTCCAGTGGGGCTCCGATCCCAGATTTTGGGGTTCTGATTGCAGATTTTGGGGCTCTGCTCCCAGATTTTGGGGTTCCGATTGCAGATTTTGGGGTTCCGATCCCAGATTTTGGGAATTTCCCTGGAACTGTCCCTCTCCCTGCGCAGGTGCTGCTGTCGGTGCTGTGTCCGGCCGATGTCCGGCCGCTGGCCGCAGCGCTGTGTCCGGCCCGGCCGCTGCGGGCGCGGCTGCTGCTGGACGAGGCCCTGGAGCGGCGCCGGGAGGGCCCCGGGGGCAGCGCGGGGTCCCTGGTGCTGCTGCTGGACAGGGTGAGAGCCGGCCTTCATCCCCACCTCCCTTCCTCATCCTCCTTTTCCTCCTCCTTTTCCCCCTTTCTCTTTGCCTCCTCTTCTCCCTACTCCCACTTCCCTTTTCATTTTCCTTCTTCCTCCTACTCTTCCTCCTGTTTCCTTCTTCTTCCTCCTGCTCTTCCTCCTTTTTCCTTCTTCTTCCTCCTGCTCTTCCTCCTCCTTATCCTTTTTCCTCCTCCTTCGTCCTCCTCCTCCTTTTCCATCTTCCTCTTCCTTCTTTTCCGTCTTCCTCCTCCTCCTTTTCCTCCTCTTTTTCCTCCTCCTTTTCCCCATTTTCTCTTCCTTTGCCTCCTCTTCCTCCTCTTCTCCCTACTCCCACTTCCCTTTTCATCTTCCTTCTTCCTCCTTCTCTTCCTTCTTTTTCCTTCTTCTTCCTCCTGCTCTTCCTCCTCCTTTTCCTTTTTCCTCCTCCTTTTCCCCACATTCTCTTCCTTTGCCTCCTCTTCTCCCTACTCCCACTTCCCTCCTTCTTCCTCCTGCTCTTCCTCCTGTTTCCTTCTTCTTCCTCCTCCTTTTCCTTTTTCCTCCTCCTTCTTCCTCCTCTTTCCTCCTCTTCCTCCTCCTCCTTTTCCATCTTCCTCTTCCTTCTTTTCCGTTTCCCTGGGATTCCTGATGGGATTTCCCTGGGATTCCTGTGAGATTTTCCCTGGGATTCCTGTGGGATTTCCTCTGGGATTCCTGAAATGTCCCAAACACCCAAATATCAGGAAAACCCTTGGGAATGTGACGCCATAACCCTCCCTGGCACTTCCTGTAGGATTCCCTTTTGGGATTTTCCCTGGGATTCCCACTTTCCCAAACCCCCAAATATTGGGAAAAGCCCTGGGAATGAGGCCTGACTCACCCCATAACCCACCCTGGGATTCCTTTTGGGTTTTTTCCTGGGATTCCCTTCGGGATTCCCCCTGTGATTCCTTTAGGGATTCCTGTGGGATTTCCCGTGGCATTCCCGGAGTTTTTGGGGTCAGGATCCCATTCCCATTCTGTGTCTTTCCCCAGAACCTGATCGAGAGCCTGGACTCGGAGGTTTTGGGGTGCTGGCGTGGGCTGCTGCTGCCCCGGGATCCCGGGAATTCCCCCCTGGATGAGCAGGAATTGTCCCAGCTGCTCCAGGAGCTCCGGGAATGCGGCTGGGACCGGCCCGAGCCCGCCCTGCTCCGGGTATGGGGCTGGGATTGGGGTTTGGGATTTGGGGTGGTGACCCTTTGATTTGGGGGTACTGATCCCTGGATTTCAGGAGGATGATCCCAGGATTTTTGGGGTTTTGATCCCTGAAGTTGTGGGAGATGATCCCGGAATTTGGGGGGCTGATCCCTGGATTTGGAGTGCTGATCCTGGGATTTGCGGGGGGTGGGGGGGGGTGATCCTGGGGATTTGGGACTTTACCCCTGGAATTTAGGGTGTTAACCCCACGTTTTATGTTCTGCCCCACATTTTGGGTTGTTGATCCCAGATTTTGGGGTTTTGCCCCTGGAATTTGGGAATTCCCCTGGAGCTGTCTCTCCCTCCCCAGGTGCTGCTGTCAGTGTCCCCTGTGTCCGGTGGGGTTCTGATCCCGGATTTTGGGGTTCTGAGCCCGGATTTTGGGGTTCCAATCCCAGATTTTGGGGTTCCAATCCCAGATTTTGAGTATTTCCCTGGAACTGTCCCTCTCCCTGCGCAGGTGCTGCTGTCGGTGCTGTGTCCGGCCACTGACCACAGCGCTGTGTCCAGTGGGGTTCTGATTGCAGATTTTGGGGTTCTGATTGCAGATTTTGGGGCTCCGATCCCAGATTTGGGGTTCCAATCCCAGATTTTGAGATTTCCCTGGAACTGTCCCTCTCCCTGCGCAGGTGCTGCTGTCGGTGCTGTGTCCGGCCGATGTCCGGCCACTGACCGCAGCGCTGTGTCCAGTGGGGCTCCGATCCCAGATTTTGGGGTTCTGATTGCAGATTTTGGGGCTCTGCTCCCAGATTTTGGGGTTCCGATTGCAGATTTTGGGGTTCCGATCCCAGATTTTGGGAATTTCCCTGGAACTGTCCCTCTCCCTGCGCAGGTGCTGCTGTCGGTGCTGTGTCCGGCCGATGTCCGGCCGCTGGCCGCAGCGCTGTGTCCGGCCCGGCCGCTGCGGGCGCGGCTGCTGCTGGACGAGGCCCTGGAGCGGCGCCGGGAGGGCCCCGGGGGCAGCGCGGGGTCCCTGGTGCTGCTGCTGGACAGGGTGAGAGCCGGCCTTCATCCCCACCTCCCTTCCTCCTCCTCCTTTTCCTCCTCCTTTTCCCCACTTTCTCTTCCTTTGCCTCCTCTTCCTCCTCCCTACTCCCACTTCCCTTTTCAATTTCCTTCTTCTTCCTACTCTTCCACCTCCTTTCTCCTTCTTCTTCCTCCTGCTCTTCCTCCTCCTTTTCCTTTTTCCTCTTCCTTCTTCCTCCCCTTCCTCCTCCTCTTCCTCCTCCTCCTTTTCCTCCTCCTTTTCCTTCTTCTCCTCTTCCTCCTTTTCCCCACTTTCTCTTCCTCCCCTTCCTCCTCCTCCTCCTCCTCCTCCTCCTGCCCTCACTGTCGCTGTCCCTGTCCCAGCACCTGCAGCGGCTCCCCTGGGAGAGCTCCAGGACCCTCCGGAACGTTCCGGTGACGCGGCTGCCGGGGCTGCGCTTCCTGCTGCGCTACGGGCTGGCACGGCAGGTACACACCTGGGACAAGGTCACACCTGGGACACACCTGGGACAGGG